TGTTTTTTTTTTTTTTTTTTTTTTTTTTTTTACCAAACAAGGTTCCTTGCACTTGTGAAGCAGGCACCAGAACCACCGAGCTAAATCCTCGGCCCTATATACCTTTTCTTAATGAAAATCAATATATTTATCAACTATAGTTACACTGGTTCAAAAGTCACATGTTAAAAATGTTTTTCTCAAAATTATTCAATTTAACAATTATTTCTATAATGCCTTAGGTAAGGGAGTTTTGTTTGTTTTTATGGTACTCAGGATTGCATCCAGAGACTTCACACTGAGCTGCATTCCCAGTCCTACCTAAATTAAGAAAAAAAAATTGTTTCTGAGATAGAGTCTCACTAAGTTATCCAAGCTGGGCTTGAACTTGCAATCTTCCTGCCTCAACTTCCCAGAATGCCAGAGTTGAGGTATGTGCCACCATGTCCAGAATTCTGTTTTTAACAAAAAATAATTAAATCTCTTTAAAAATGTTCTCACAATATCTGATTATCAATGGCCATGTAAAGTCTGATATCTAATTTTTGTTTCCCAATTCACATTTGAGCCAATATGGTTATAAAATGCCCCTTAAAATCATTTATGTTTTATTTTCACTTCAATAATTTGGTGACTATAGTTTTGAAATCAGTTTCAAAGATTGCAGGTAAGATAAAATCAATTACTGTTTCTCTATCTCCACAAGCTAGCGGTAGTGGCAACAATACCATATATATGTCTTTGACACTGTCTAAATGATGTAGTTTACAATACTGTTCTTTAACAGAAACCCAGGACCCTGTCATACTCACATGCCTTTTCTGTTGCAGAGACAAATTTTTATTTCAAAACTGTCAAAAGGCAGCAATATTTTCTAAATCATTAAGAAACAAGTTTTCTATGTTAACAGAAATGTTAAAATAGTGCCTTCCTTCATTTTACTGTAAAGCTGGTACAAAGTTTTAAAGTCACTATTCAACAATGCTATTGCTTTATTCACTCAACAGGCTTATAATCCATGGAGCTTAATTTGAAGATTTTAGTCCTGACAACATTCACACCTCAGTTTTGAGCTCAGCAGTGACTCCCATAGCTCAGGTTTTACAATCTATTATCCCAGTAGTCTTCTATAGGACTTTATCACACCACTGCTATTTTTCTGTGGTTCTAAAATGTCAGTGTCATACTTTAAATTCTCACAAGTTAATTTTGCAAGTAGGTGTGTATAAGAAAACTTTCTGTCACCCCGGGCATGGTGATATGAATCTGCTTAGAAAAACTCTACTGTGTACCACTTCCCCTTATATGGACGGATAGGAAAAGGTGAACTTTCTACTACTCAAAAAGGGTCATTTGAGATTCTTTCCTTCTGGCTGCAATTCTTCTTACGCATTTGGCTTAAGAAGTACGCCAAATATTTCCAAAAAATAGCAATTAGCAATTGAATCAATTAGTAATTATTTCAATGATATATAAGGGACAACACTCCATGAACTATTATTACCTTATCGTATCTTCTAGCATTTATTGAACTAATATACTATAAAAGATCTATGAACAATAAAGTACTCTCAACATATAAAATAATTAAAACTGTAGAGTTCTAAGAAATTCAAGTTTCTCAGAAAGATATAATGTACTTGTAATATGTAAAACATAGTGTAAAAACATCAACACAAAGTACATTATAAAGTATTTTAATGGCTAATAATTTCCTTAAAAGAGGATGGTTTAAAAACATTACAGCTCAAAAAGTTCACTCTGAATATATGTGAAATTCTATATAATATTTTGTTGTTTTAATGCAACAATTACCATTTTTTCTAGAATAGTAACAACAAAAGAATAAACTTACAGAACCAGACAATGCCCCTGATGTAAAGTTGATCATAAAAGTCGGTTCATATAAACCAGATTTCTCACATAACCACTTCTTTAAAATTTCATAGTTATACCAGTACATTGCTATAAAAACAGAGAATGAAATGAGCACATATTTAGAAATAAAATGTGGCATTTAAAGAAAAGATGAACTCAAAAACCAAAGGAAAAAAGAACCTTGACACATCTTTCTTTCTGCTTAGCCTAGCGGTTTTTTTTTTTTTTTGGTACGGGAGACTGAACTCAAGACCTTGTGCTTGAGAGGCAGGCAGCAGCACCACTGAGATAAATTCCCAGCAACAGTCTTATAAACAAAAACTTCTCTGTGCATCTTTGTAATAGTTCTATAATTTCAAATCAAGGATAATTCCTCACAAGGACACTTAGGAGAAAGGAAAAGTAAAGGCCCATCTATAGATGAATATAGATAAAGTATTTTAAAAATTAGCAAACTGAAGCAAAAAATGAAGATAATATATTAAAATGTAATATACTGTATTAACAAAACAGGAAATAACCTAATAATGAAAAAAAATCTGATAAAAGTTCAACACTTACAGCAAACAAATTTCATGAAAAACCTAAAGATAAAAGGGAAACTTCTTAACTTAATAAAGGGTATGCATCAGAACCCTGTGGCAAGAATAATTACTAATGTTCAAACATAGAACTACTTCTCATATATTGTGAAAAATGATAGGATGTTCATTGTCATCCCTATTGTTTAAAACTGTACTAGGCAGGAAGAAACAGAAGCTATGACGTAAACATTTCTAAAAAGGCATAACTTACTATTACATATATTATTATCTACACAAAAACTCAAAAGATAAAATCAGTTGCAACCATCAACTATAAGGGTTTACAAAACATAAAGGCTGTGCATGAAGGTCAGTCAGTGCCTAAGCTCACACAAGGCTTTGGTTTCAATTCCTAGGCACAAAAATAAACAAATGGTAACAAAGTGAGAGGGTGGGGGATATCTTTAATAAATCTCAAAGGAGATGAATTTAATCTTTTTGAAGAAAAATTGAAATTTCTACTGAAACACTTTAAATATGATTTATTAGCAAACAGATATGTCATTCCTAGAGAAGAAAAAATAAGGTAATGTCAAAATTTTTAATAAAGCCCTAGGACTTCAGGTTGTGGTATTGGCAGAGATTTAGATAAATTAACCAGTGAAACAGATCCCCGCATACATGAAAATATGACACAACAGAGGTGACAATGCAGATCTTTGTAACAACTGTAATTATTCAATAAATGATGCTCAGACAATGAACTATCCACATGGCGGGGGTTCAACCTGAATGCTTGCTTTAGTCTCTATTCCCAAAGCAACTGTAAATAACTGAATAGCTAATGAAAGTTGTCATTCTTATAAATAACTGAGGAAATTAATATAAAGTGAAATGTTAAATTACCAGAAGAAATTTAAGAAATTTGACAAAAGACCTGGTAAAAGTGAAAAGTAACAGGAAATCTCATATATTGCTGGCAGGTGTAGAGATCCATATAATCACCTTAGAAAAGAGTTCACATTTCCCAGTAAAATTAGAAATGTATACTGTGTACGTTATTTATACCATTCAGCAAGTCAAACACTGGCAAACTGTTGTACAGGTGCACAGACTTAAACATTTAAAAATGTTTACAGGACCAAGGATTTAGCTCAGCAACACCCCACCTGCCTAGCAAGTGCAAAGTCCTGAGTTCAATTCCTGGTACCAGAAAAAAAAAAAGTTTATAGCAGCATTGTTACTCATACATAAACATGATTAAAAATGAATCAAACATAGAATGAATCCCAGGAAAATTTTTGAGTGAAAATATTTTTAAAAGCTCAAAAACAGATAAACTAAATAATTCATATAAAAACAAACTTTAAAAAAAGCAAACATAACCAAAAAATTCAGTATGTTGGATACCACTGGGAACGTAAACACAAAAAAGCATATATGTGGCTGTCTGATTGAAAAAGCTATTACATTCAAGCTTATTGAGTGATGAGTCCACAGGTGTTCATTTTACTATACTTCATAATTTAAATCTATGCCACTTTTATATGCTAACTATATAATTAAGAATAAAACATAATTGGCATTGAATCTATAATTAATTACACATTTATGTGTCTTAACAACAGAACTGAACACAAGCACCTATCTGATTTGTAATAGTCTCAAAGGATACTCAGTGAGGTGATGTTTATTTTTAATAAATGAAAAAGCAGGAGTCCAAATCAAAGGTGGGTTTAAAAGGATTTTATATATTTTGACTTATATTAGTTTACTTACCTTACAGATTATGACTTATTTAGAATATGAATGCCCATCAAATCAATGTTTAAAAGGAAAATAAATGCAAGCAAAAAAGAAAATCAGGCCTGAATTAGAAACTATTCATTCAATAAAGATTTGTGAAGATCAGAATGCCCAAACCATAAACTAGGAATTTGTGGTTGCTGCAGAAAATAGCTTACTTTTAACCATAAAGGGTTTAAAATCTAACGAAAGTAATATATGAATAAGACAAAGCTACATAAAATTTAGGAAATAATAATAAGACAAGTCCTACCTGAGAAAGGTACATCTCTAAGAACAGTAGGAGCCCAGCCCTTCCAAAGGGAAATCCAGCCATCTTCTGATACTTTCTTGCTGAGAAACTGATATAGTTCCTTGTAAGAAAACTTCTTGGACTGCATCTTGGTTCTAATCAACTCTAATGGACTTATCACAGTTACTGCACCAACTGATACAGATGAAAGAAAATAAAACAAAGCTATGTACTATGCGAACACGTGTAAAAATCAGTACCATACATATTTTATACTTTTCCTTTTATTCTGAAATATCTGAAAATCTTAAAATCAAATATCTAATCTGTGGATATATTGGCAAAAACTTTTTCTATTAAAAAATATATTTCTTAAATCTGTTTACATATATCTTTTCTTCTTTTCAAGTATTTCAGAGAGGGTCCCAGAAATGCTTTAGTCGACTAGATCTATTACAAAAACTTGCTCTAGTTAGTGCCCCCAATAAACCAGTCCTATTTCACAGAGAAATATGTTCTTCTGAGTAAATGCAAACTTTCTTCTGAATAAGCTCTGAATCTAAAGTTTATGAGGAAAATGATTCAAGACTTGAATCATGTGTGAATCATATATGGGCTCAGATGACAGCCTGGAAGTTCAGGTGAATAAGAACCATTCTGATGTTACTCCAAAAAACTGGGCATGGTGACATACACCTGTAATCTCAAAAATGGGAGGCTGATGCAGGAGGATCCCAAGTTTGAGCCAAGCCTGGGTAAAGAAGCTACCTAGCAAGACCCTGTCTTAAAAATAAGAAGAAAACGGCTGGGTTGTAGCTTAGTGAAAAGGTCCTGGATCCAATCCTCTGTACTGTAAAAGAAATAAAGTAAAAACTGTCCAAGCTAGACATGGTGGCACATGTTTATAATCCCAACACTCAGGAGGCTGAGGTATAAGGACTTAAATTTGAGGCTAGTCTGGACAACGCAGTGATTTTTAAGGCTATCCTGGACTACATATGATAGTTCTGTTTAAATAAATAAATAAATAAATAAATAAACAAACAGCCCAAGATCCAACTAAAATGGGCTATCTCATCTTATGCTAATGGCAATCAACATGCCAAGTCACTTCCAGGGTAGATATTAACAAATTAGTACAAATTAGAATGCAAAATATGCCTTACTGATATCATGTTCACTATATAAATTCTGTCTGAATGTCAAAATCTAAACAAATGTGCTAAACAGAAATCAAAAATGTATTACTTACATCTGGCCATAATTCCAGCAATAATTGGTATTCGAGTTTCATTTTCTCCTAATTTGGATCTCAGAACAGCAGTTAATTGATCATAGCAGGTAAAATAAACAACAGTGGCAGGAACTGCCATCACTCTGTAGAAACACACGGAAGGATTTCTCAGAATTATCCAAAGGTGTCAAACACACTAGTACCTTAAATTCAGTATCATGATATATGCTGAGAAAACTTTTATTTGTGTAGGCTAAAAACCACAACACATTTTTCATTTAAAAAAAGTATTAGTTCTTAACATAGTAATCAGTAAAAATATATAAAGAACCTACCCTCCAAAAGTTTAAGTTCTAGTTGTGAAGTGACACTATAAAGCATCAAAAGAATACCATGTTAAGTTAGAATATTTAACATTAAATAAGTGTTATATAATCAAACTCATCACACAAATTGTACAGTCTAGTGTTACACACACACACACACACACACACACACACAAATTAGGACACTTCTCCAATTTCTTCACTTTTCAGTGTTTCTAGTCTTCCACATCTGCCCTCCCAATTAATGTTTATTATAACATGAGGATTGCTACAATAAAAAGTTTAAGAGGAACTAACCATAAAACATTTTTGAACATATAACTGCTTATAATTGGAAATGAAGTTCAATTAACATTGCCAGAATTTTATATACTAGTTTTGAGAGGGTTCTAATAATGTATTCTCTTACATGAAAATATCAAAAGGGGGAAATTAAGCAAAAGCTCATACAAAGCTGCAGGCATTGGCATGTCAGCAATATCAATGCAACAAGAAGCCAGTTTTTATTTCTGGTCTAACTATAGCGTATCTGCAGACCACAGTCTGGAATGCTCAGTATTCTATAGTGAAGATTGAACAAGGAGTACTCAGGAGCAGAAGTGAACGTAGTGAAGGATAAATGGCAATCTTGTATATCCACTAACTTTAAAATCTTAAGTATTAAAATATATGCCTTAAAACTGATTAACTTCCTTCAAAAAGACAAAGCAAGTGCTTAGAAATAAATGAGACAGGGCTGGGGATTTAGCTCAGTGGTTCCACCACCAAGTGTGAGGTGCAGAGTTTGATCCCCAGTACCAAAAAAAAGAAATGAGACAGCAGAGCCAAGTTTTTACATTCAGTCTTAATTGTATATACACTACAATATACCTTACTGTTTTAGTAAAATAAAGTCAAATGAACACCACGTTCTTTATGCAGCAAAGACTTAATACAGCAGGTCTGGTTATGTAAATCTTTCAGGATATCTTCAGGGGGGCCGTTTGCATGCTAATCTTTGGCCAACTCACTAGAATTCAGTCAATCGACTTTCCCTATGATAATGCCTTCTATATGTCTGAAGCACTAAACCAAGTGGTCTAGGTAATTTTTGACCTCCTTTTTGAGGTATGAGGTTTTGTTAATCACACTTCATTAAGCTGGAACGCTACAGTGGGTTTCCCACAGTAGAAACACTGCTGTTTCTCAGGTACAGAAAGAACAAGCATGTCCCATGTGATGCCACAAGGGAGGGGCTCTGGTAGCCCGCACTTGGTCAACTCCTGATGTGTTTCCCTTACCAATCCCGCTCTGTATCATTTAGGTGTAATAAACCATATTCACGAGGACCTCCTTAGGTCCTGTAAGTCCTAGGACATCATCAAATGTGTGGGTAGCAGTAAGACTCACAAAACAATGCTTCAGAATATCAAAGAATTTTCTAATGTTTAAAATGCAAGACTTTCTCCAATCATGCTCACTGAAATACAAAACAATCATCAATTAGCAGAAAAAAATTTAAATTTCAACTTACAGAGTAGGAGGAAGGCCACTCCACAGGGACTTAATGCCCTCATTTCGAATGATTTTCAGAAAGGCATCCTAAAATTATCATAGAAAACACAATCAAAATACTGCCCTAAACCTGACATACAAAAATTTATAGTGCTAAATAATTGGTAACTTGACTCTCTCAAGCATTTATTTCTAAAATCCAAGATTCTTGGGATTTATGTATGTACACTCGTTCAAAAAAATAAAAATTTTCACACATAAAATGTCTGAACAATACTTCTTACAAAATAAATCATATATTACTCAATTCTGGATTATTCTATTTAGGGCTTAGAAACAAAGGTTTTGAAAGATCACTGTAGAAAAGGAAGTAGAACAGTATCAGAGAACTGATCAGATAAACTTTCCTGACCAAGTATAAATTCTAAGAAAATAATCACACCCCTTTGTGAAATTTTGGAGAGGAATCAAAAGGCGGCAGAAACTGAAGTCTGTTAACAGACAAACTCTTACATGTTACTAATAATATACTTAATATTGACATAAGATTAGGACAAATATTCCTCCAAAAAAAGATACACAGTGAATAAGCACATTAAAAAAATGTTCAACACAATCAATCATCATGGAACTGCGAAACAAAGTCATAATATAAGTTATACTTCATAACCATCAGGTAGGCCAAAATTTAAAAAGACAGGTACAAAAGGTGCAGGAGTACACACCTATTATCCCAGCCTTTTGAGAGAATAAAGCAGAAGGATACCGAGTTCAAAGACAGGGAAGATGCCAAGAAGGGGAATAGCTGGGTCAAACTGAACCTCTAATTTTAGTTTTTGGAGGAAGCACCACACTGATTTCCACAGTAGTTGCACCAGTCTACAAAAGGTTGTGGAAGAATCAGACAGAGACTGAAAGGGTAGAAGCAAAGTTGTACTTTTATTCAGCAAGCATGCAAGAGTACAGCTGCCTTGTCTCAGATAAACAGGCAGGGGTGCCCGAAACAGAGCCACCATTGAACGGGGGGCTCAAGATGTTGGTTTTCTAGTAGCTAGGGGCTTATCCTGTCTCTGGGCTGAGGGCGCCCTACTTGACTGGTTAATGATTGACTTAGCTTGCTACTAGGGCCAACAGAGAAGGATCTTTTGGGGGCCTTTTACATCTCAGGGAGAAGGTTCTTTTTCCCTTTTGATCTTAGCCACCAAGCTTTGCAGGGTACAGTGTGAAGAGGAGGTGCAACCACAGACTATCAGCTATTCACAAGTGGTTAAGCCTGTTCGACCATATGACTTATTTCAGGGCTGGTGTTCCCTCATCTCTTCCCTGCCTACAGGTCTGTATCCCTACACCCCCAATCCAAAACTGGGCATCAGAAGTGAATATACACTTCTCAAGATGAAGCGGTAGAGTCAGCAAATAAATATATGAAGAAATGTTCAACATCACTGGTCATTTGAGAGATGCAAATTAAAACAATGCTGAGTTCCATCTTACTCCAGAAAGAATGGTTATTATCAAGAAAACAACAAATAACTGGGCTGGGGATTTAGCTCAGTGGTTCTGCTGCCTGCCTTGCAAGCACAAGAACTTGAGTTTGATCCCCAGTACAAAAACAAACAAACAAACAAAAAATAACAAATGCTGGCAGCAGTGCTGTGGTGAAAACGTCTAGGTTCTAATTTTCAAAACCACCATTCTCAGAACTAGGAAAATGTTAAATTAAATGAAGAGGGATGATAAATAAATACCTAAGCTAAGAGTTGTTAGAATCCTCTGATGAAGATTTTAAACAGTCAACATAAAAAATATTTAATAATCATTTATGAATATGTTTGAAACAAATGAAAATACAGTATGTCTTAGCAAACAAATGAAAAAGTAGAATGCCCCATCTGCAAAAATGCTACAGATCAAAATGGAAATAGAGGAAGGAAGGAAAAATAACAGAAACAGCCAACAGAATTAATAGGAAATAAATTAAATGGCAGATAGGCTCTAACATCTACAACTGCATTAATATAATTAGTCTACGAAAAGATGAAAACTGATAAATTTAAAGCATAATTGAATTATATACTATCTATAAAAATTCACTTCAATTACAACGATATGGAAAGATTAAAAATTCACTGGATGTCATTTCTCCCTAATATAATATATAGGCTTAATGTAATTCCAATAAAAATCTTAGGTTTTATATGTGTATATATATATTTAAAAGATTATGCTAAAATTTATGGACAGAGAAAGGAACTTTGGGAAAACTAAAATAACTCTGAAGAAGAAACACTGTACAGGAATAGAGTAGAAGGGCTGGTATGTAGCTCACCAGTACTGTACTTGCTCGGTATGCATGAAGCCCTGCATTCATACCCAGCACCACAAAAACCACAAAAGAATAAAGTGGCAGCAGTTAGTTAACCTGATTTCAAGTTATCTATAGAAATTAAGACTGTGTGTTTTGAATAGAGTGACAGATTATATAGATAAATAGAATAGAATAGAGAACCAAGAAATACATATTCCCAAGTATACCCAACTGTTCTTGATAAAGGTTAAAAAAAGAACCAAAATAATGGAGGAGAGGTAATCTTTTCAACAAATGCAGCTGAATCCCCATGGGCAGTCACAACAAGAAATAAATCTCAACCTCATTCTCATACCTTATATAGAAATAAGTCAAATGGATCAAGGATTTAAATGCAACATAAAGCTATAAAACTATCAAAGGAAAACATAGCAGACAATCTCAGAGTTTAAAAGTTAGTAGAATGTTCTTAGAATAGACACCAAAAGCATGATCTATAAAAGAAACACTGATACTGGATTTCATCAAAATTTAAAACCTTTGCTCCTAGGAAGATCAAGAAAAGACAAGTACGAAAAATATCTGCATACTGTACACTCAACAGAGAACAAGTATCTAAAATACATATTTTAAATGTTAACAACTTACTGAGAAAATGAGCAAA